CCCCATTTTCCCCCAATCGAGGAAATATATAGCCTGGCCAAAACTTCCTAGCCACAGATTCTGAGACAAGGTACAGAAATAGCAAAAAATTAATTAAGCCAGGTCAATCTAAGATCCTCCTTTATGGAATCAGATGTTCTATTTTTCACGACACAGCTCACCAATGCACCAGGGACCTCCACAGAATGTCACCCATCAGAAGGTACAACCTAGCTGTTCAGTCCCTCAAACTGAAGGGTTTCAGACTCTGTTTACACGTCTCCCACTAACACCTTATTCAAAGGTATGAGACCTAACATCACTCTTTCATATGGGGGCATCGGCTCCTTCAAATGACAACTGTGCTCATAAAAGCAAATGCATTTAACAAACATTTGCATAAGTGTAACGGAAAAGCACACTTTCACAGACGCAGAAAAATTACATAAGGTCCCTTACGTGAGAAAAACCCTGTCTCCAGGACAGTCAGCCTTCCAAACCAGCCCCATGTTCATCATTTTATGCCTTGCTCCATCAACTCTGACTGTCCTCAGGTTCCCTCCTGCATCACCATCCTTGACTCTAGCCTGGGGTCTCCCAACAAGAGGTGCCCATTTCCTCCTGCAACGAGGTGATCCTTCCTCATCACCCTCAACACTCCTTCAAACACATTTATGCATGCTTACAAACCATGACTAGCGCCGGGAAAACGCACATCAAATATTAAACTCTGCCTCATTTTCATCTCCTGGCTCACGTACATGCCTGGGCGCCAGCACATCCCTCTTCAAACACCACTCACAAGTTTCCTCTCCCAAGAAGCCTGAATGGGGCCACTCTGTCCTCTGCCTGTCACCTTGCCATTAGATGCTGCTACCCCATCACTGTCTCACATCAGTCACTATGTGTTCTGAATGGCCTCTTTAATGCAGCGGCCCTGTGGTTCCCTCAAAAGAAGAAACTAACACTGAATATTTCCTACTAGCTGGTCCATATGAAATTCCCAATGTCTGGCCACATCTGGCCCCAAACACAACAACTTACCATGGCTCCACCTACCGATCAGGTAACATTGCACAGACTCTCATTCATCCCTTGACAGAGTGGGTAGGTAACCTCCTCCACAGCTGGGGAAGGGCAGGGATTCACAGCCAGTGTCTGCTTGCTCCACTCTGCCTCTACAGCCAGGGTCTTTTCAGCTTACAGTTTAATCCCCACAATATACCCCCCCAAAACAGCGAGTACCAGTTTTATGTGAAAACTGGGGCAGAAACAAGGCGATAAAAAGCATCCCTGGAGACAAGTGACTCTAGGACCAGAGTGAGCTCCCCAGGGCATCCACAACCTAAGAATGCAATACATCCCAGGATATTCTGTCCAGGTGTCTGGAGATTACCTAGGAAGCCCAGCATGAGGGACCGGCTCCAGCAGAGCCCCTCAACCCTCACCTGCTCAAAACGTCCACTTGGGCCCCAAACAGCAACTGGGCCAGAACAAGCATTTCTGGACCCCAGGGAATATTAGACAGGTTGGCAAAAGATATTCTGCAATATAAACATGTGTTCCTAGACTGCCACTCGAAGACTTTTCTTTTGAAGATTAAAAAAAAAAAGGTGCATAATTCCCAGTAAAACGAAAATCTGCAAGTAGTTTTAAACAGATGGAGGTGAGGGGCGCCTGGGTGGCGCAGTCGGTTAAGCGTCCGACTTCAGCCAGGTCACGATCTCGCGGTCCGTGAGTTCGAGCCCCGCGTCGGGCTCTGGGCTGATGGCTCAGAGCCTGGAGCCTGTTTCCGATTCTGTGTCTCCCTCTCTCTCTGCCCCTCGCCCGTTCATGCTCTGTCTCTCTCTGTCCCAAGAATAAAATAAACGTTGAAAAAAAAATTTTTTTAAATAAAAAATAAAAATAAAAAATAAACAGATGGAGGTGAATGAGCCCTAGGGAGAGCGTCTATGACGCCCACGAATGCAGGTGAGTCACAGGCCCTCTTAGTCCTCCAAGAACCCTGAGTTCTGGTGAGGTGGAGCCGCGGCAGGTGCAGGTGTGCACAGGTGAGCAGATGTACAGGTGAGCGGATGTACAGGTGCGCGACGTGCTGGCTGTCCATGACAACGAGGACGCGCGGTGCGGGGGCACTGCCGCCCCCCTCACTACCAGCCCGTCCTTCACGTTCTACTGGGATCGGAATGTTGGCGGGCGGTCAGGGACCGCGCGTTCCTAGGCCACCAGCATCCACCGGGGTGCCACGGACACTGGCCGAGACTCCACGGCGACTCGAAGGGCTGCAGCGCCAGCTCCTCCGGAAAGGCGGGAGGGCGCGGCCAAGCCCCGCCTCGCTCGCGGACCCAGCCCCGCGATTCCCGGCATGCCCCGCGCCCGGCCCCCCGCGCACGCCCCCGTCCCACCCCGCAAGTCCCCAGCCGGTGATTGGCTGCGACCTCGACAGGGGCGGGGCCGGGCAGAGGGCGGCGGATTCAATATGGCGGCGGCCAGGAGGCGACTTCTAGTCGAGCCGGCGGGAAGGGCAAGACTTTGGCGGTGTTCCCCGCCTGACCGCAACCGCTCCTAGTAGGAAACAACAGCGGTCACCGGAACCTTCCCCGAGAAACCCGAGCTGGGACAGCGAGAGGAGGAAGAGGCGCTATCGTTTACCTTCGCTCTCCCGGCCTCCACCTTTCTTCGCCGCTGCTCTTGCTCATCTTCATCCATCTCCCTCCCGGGGGCTCCTCGCGGAGCCCAAGAGGTGACGGGGTCAACACGCCGCCGCCTTCACTCTATTTACACTCCCTCCCCCTTGTCTGGGCTGCCCTCCCCCCGCAACAACTGTCACGCAGACGTGGGTCTGGCGCCGCCCCCGAGTGTGCGCCGTCTGCCCCGCTGCCAATCAGAGGGCTGCGTTCTTGCCCTCGCGCACGCGCAATCAGAGCCTTGCGGCCCGGACGGAGCTCCGCCTATGTCGACCTCTGGCCTCCCACTGGCGCGTTGTCAATAGCACCTCCCAGCAGGACCAATGGCGGAGCGTAGAGGCCTCGGAACGCTCTGTGGTTGGTCGGTTTTAAAGGGGTCTACCTGTCCAATGGGTGGGCGGCGAGCGCAGGCGCGGGGACCAGTTGGGGCGCGCGCACCTGTTGTACATGGGGTTGCACTAGCGACTCGAAAGGCCTCTAGGCGAGTGTGGTCGTCAGCCTTTGTCTTTGGTCGTGTTAGTGGGGCGTTAGACTTGGCCGTTAGGAAGTTTAGGCCGGCCCCACAGCCCCTTCTTTGAGGGGGCTGAGAGGCCGCCCACAGGCGAGTCCCCCGGGAGCTACTCGGTGAGCGCCAGGGAGTCCGGGAGGCCGCGACTTCGCGGGCTGAACGGCTGGTCTCGGGGCTGCGGTTGGCGTCACACGTCTCGTCCGCACTGCCCGTCCTAGAGCCCCCTCACTTTCAGCCAGGTCCTCGGTCCTCAGGGATGGGAGCACGCGTCACCTTGCCCTTCGCCTCCCGGGACGCTGTTTCTGTTCGTTTCCCAGTCGCAGACCGCCAGCCAGACCACTTGGATTTCATTGCTCTGCGTCCCTCCCCCGTCGTATGACTTCACTTCTCTCTGTTGCCTGTTGGTGCCTGGGAATCCGGGCCACGGCGTCCAGCGTTGCAGGGACAGAAGGCACTGGGAGTGGTGCCACTTCCGGACCTGTATTTTTCTCACTGGGGACACAGTACCGTATCGAGGGCTCTGATTTAATGCGTCTACCGCCAGCTTGCAGCTTCTGGGTAGTGCAGCATAGGATTTGACCAGTGGGACAAATCTGGCACCTCTGCCACGAAGCAGCCCCCTGGATCAGAGTATTAGGAGGGACCCTGTGGTGGAGAGAGGGACAGGCTGAGATCCTGAAGCGCAGGAAAGGCTGACTTATACATGTTCATTCCTGTTAGGACAGTCTCTGGAACCCCAGCATGGAAGGGGCTCCCTAGGGCCAACTTGCCAAGTGGTCTTTAGTCTCCTTGAGAAAATTTTGGTGAAGATGTGATTTTAAGTGATACTGTAATTGTACCCAGTTCCAGATCACCGGAAAAAGAGCTGGTTCCGTGAAAATCAAAAACAGTCAAGTGGAAAATGATTAAGGCTTGGAAGCGTGGGGGTAAATCATTTCAAGTGTATTGTAAACAGTCATGAAAAAGGAATCTTGTACTTCCTGCTCAATTTTGCTGTGAACCTAAAACTGCTCTAAAAAATAAAGTCTGAAAAATAAGTAAAAATAAATAAAAAATAAAGTCTGTTAAAAATTTAAAAGAAAAAAAAGGAGTATAACTTTGGTTATGAATTCATGGTCTGTGGGAATCCAAAGTTTCATGAGATCATTGTTCCTTAGCTTCAAACTTCACTTGAACCTGTTTGTCCAGTTAAGGAAACAATGCAAGGTTTTTGTTCCTAGCCCACAGTTTAACAATCAAATGCTGTTGGTGTAATCAAGCTCACTGGGAGCTGATAAACTAGTTGACGATAATCCAAAGCATCTCCCTGCACCCTGTAGCATAACTGCACCAAGCGGTGATCCTCTTTGCCTAAAGGGGCTTGACATCCCCGGTCTCACTTTAACCTTTTCTTATCACTGTTGGAATATCCATTTACAGTTAAAAGGAAGATGAAAGCATAGTGCCCCCCTCTCCCACCGCTTTGAGTCTGTAAATAGAACAGCAGCGCCACGTTTCGTTTCGGTGGCAGGATTAGGAAACTGTAGAACTCAGGCAGATGACAAGGACAAGATGGGAGTCCCAAATGCCTCTGCTACAGATGTGAGCCGTTGGGGAGTCAGGTAGGATGACACTACTTCAAGTGACCTGCCACTAGAGAGAGAGTGGCACAAAAAGCAAGATTGGGGTGGATGGCCTTGTTGTGGGCGATGTTGCAGTAGACATGTAGATTTCTGGGTTCCTTCTGTTCCGCTCACCTGTTCCCACACCTTTACTTGGACGGGGTTTGTGTGCCGGCTGTGCGCTCCCTGCTTGCTGTCTTCTCTGACCGAATCAGGGTAGCAGTAATGCCCTTCATCAAGACGCGGTAATGACAATCTTGCTGACACAAACTCATCTTTCACCCTCAGTGAGAATGTGTGATTATAAGCAACCACAACTTAGACAAATCTCCCTCAGAGAGTGCTGGAAGCTCAACCACCAAAAAGCATTTCTCCTCCTGAGTCAGACCACAGCCCTTCAGTAAGTGGAGCTTCCATTCTTAGCTTGTAGAATTGAGTGGTGTGAGCAAAAATGAGTGGGAGTGAGTGGGCTCATAAGACCAGGGGCCAAGCAGGCAACACCAGCCAAACACAGGGTCAGACTTTCCTAGAGCAATTACAGCCCCAGATCTACGCCCGGATCTCTCAACCTTTACATGTTGCAATGGATTTAAAACTCAATGGGGCACTTGTCCACAGTTTTCCCACACCGGTTTGGTCATTGGTTTTCAATCTATGTTCCCTAGAACCCCAGGATCATTTCCATGGTCATTCTACACCATATTAATGCTGGACCTGAGTCTCAATTTATTTTTGACAATTAAAAAGCTGTGCATATAAATTATGTAGATACTCACCCCCAAGGAGGGAAACAACCCTCACTCCTTAAGTGTGAACTGTGCATGTGACTTCCTCCCACAGAGGACAGTGTGGGAAGGGAGAGAAAAACCTAACAAACATACCTCTGCCAGGTGATCAAGGTCAAAATCAACAGTGATAAGTCAAGGTGACCACAGGCACCCTGGATGTGACGTGATGATGATGGCACTTTACCTCTGTGGTCTTCCTCCCATCAACCCAAACCCCAGTCCAATCATGAGAAAACATACAAGTATGTCCTCCACGAGTAGAGGACACCCTACAAAATGCCTTGACAAGTGCTCCTCAAAACTGTCAAGGTCGTCAAAAGCAAGAGGAGTCTAAGGGGACATGCTGACAAATGTCATATGATGTCTTGAAATAGAGAAGGGATGTCAGGCAAAAAAAAAAAAAAAATACAGAAATCAAAGGAAGTATGGACCATAGTTAATGTATCGGTCTAGGTTCATTGATTGTAGTAAAGGGTAACAAACCAATATAAAGTAATCTTTGTTATAAAGGGTAACAAACCAATATAAGATGTTAATAATAGGGGAAGCCATATGTGAGAATGCTATTTACCATCTTCTTGATTTTTCTGTAAATTTAAGTTTTAAATGACTTTAAATAAGTAACTTTAATTTTTTAAAAACAATTTAAGGGACTTTCAGCCAGATTTTTGCCATCTGATACAAGCTGCATTGAGGAGGGGGGCTGTAAGTGTGCCGATACTCCACTCTCACCCCAGCCCCAGATCGCTGTCACGGGCTCCAATAGCAAATCTGTTATGTCCACTTCATTAGCCGGGTGGATTAATTTGCAAATCTGAGATGTAAAACCCATACAAATGAAGGGCCGCTTGTATCAGTTTTGTGCCCTGCCTTCTGTGTGAAGGATCATTTATAAAAGACTTCCCTTACTGGATGCAATCCCGCCCCACCCTCAGCCCTCCAGACATGCACTCCAGCCACCGACTCCTGACCTGACCAGGGGTCTTGTCCCTAGGTGTTCCCACCCCTCTCTGGGCTGGGGTCCCCACAGAGCAGCCCCAATGCTGGAATCACACCCCCGCCTGGAGCAGTGGTAGCTCCGCGTGACCCTGTGTCCTCCCAGGTGATGGCTAGGTGCCTGTGGGGTGGACCCACCGAGAACCCCCACCAGGGAAGCCCCCTAGGCATGTCATTGGCCAGCTCCCTTGTGCCCCTTCTGCCCCTCAGAATTTCCTAAAATCTGCAGGGAGGTGGTGCCCCCACCTGGTCCAGGCTTTACTCCCATCTGGCTCTGAGGGTCCCTAGAAGGGGTTGGGGGCTTGCCAGCCTCCAGGAGGCTGCAACGGATGAGGGGTTCTAGGCCCCTGTGGCGCATGGGGAAGGATGCAGCTGTCCCCTACCCTATACTCTTCTGGGCTCAGTTCTGGGGTGGGGGCAGTGCATGGGGGTATGGATCAGGACCGTCTTCCCCCCAGAACTTCACTCTGTCCCTCTGGCCTTAGCCACTGCTCGTTGCCTTCCCAATAAGCCCTACCTGGCTACACCTGGAGATTAGCAGTGTTTATAGGTAACCGCTGCGTGGGGCCTCCGTGGGGCTTGGGAAGGACTCTCAGTGGAAACCCAGCAACCTGGGGCCTTCCTGTGTCTACACTGCCTAGCAACTGCCAAGGCAATGCCGGTGTTGGCTCCCAACGCTGTAGTCCAGGGGGATGGGGCCACCCTCTCACATGCTCCAGCAGAGGCCAGTCTCCAGGAGGTAAACCGAGCCCAGCTCAGGAATCCTTCAAAGACACCAGGGTTGGGGCTGCTTCTGTCCAGTTGAGCAGTTCTTTTTTCTAGATACCCTGAAAACCAGGGAGGGAGGTGGGCCTGGTGGCGTCCCTCCTCTTACAGTCCAAGAATGCTGGACTCCTCAGTGGCAGATGCAATGACCCGACTGACCCTAAAACTCTTAGAGAAGGTAAGACGGGGGAGGCGGGGTAATCGTGTTTTTAACAACTTGTCAAAGAAGCACAGATATACAAGGTAAGTTATACCTGTGAGTATACTCCTTCCAAAGCAAAATGCTTTGCGATGGTTTTCAGCCTCATGATGAAGGACTATGGTTTCTTGGGTATTTTTCTCTGCATTTATGCAGAATCGACTATGTTCTCCTGGCAGTTTCTCAGCCAGGAGGTTGTTTGCACCCCCAGGCCAGGACATTTCCAGGGTCCCACAGAACTCCCCTGCAGAGCCTCCCAGCTTTAGTGTTTGAGAGAAGCCAAGCCCTGACCGGTGCAGGATCCGAAGCCTCATAGGCTGGCCCTGGGACCCATCCTGAGCCCCTATCCTCCCCTGCAGGTTCTGTTGGTCCCTGGCCGGCCTGCCCTCACAGGCACCCAGCTCAGTGCCCTTCCTTCCATGGGACCCATGGGCCAACTTGGAGGGGCTGACAGGAGTCACCCCAACATGGGCCCGGACTGTGCTGCTCAGCCCAGGGCTCGGGTGATCAGAGGTGGTCAGGGACACGGAGCTGGCCTAGGTCAAGCTCTTCAGAAAGCTGCTGGAAAGGGACCATACAGGGGTGCCTGGGCAGCTCAGTCAGTTAAGCACCCGACTCTTGATGTTGGCTCAGGTCGTGATCTCATGGTTTGAGATCGAGCCCCGCATCAGGCTCTGCTCTGACAGCATGAAGCCTGTTTGGGATTCTCTCTCGTCCACTCTCTCTCTGACCCACCCCCCCTCAAAATAAATAAACAAACTTTAAAGAGGAGGGGGCCTATATATCAGAGCTCCTGCCCTTAGATTTCAAGGTGGAACGTGTGTGCACTGGACGGAAAGCGTAGCCTGCACTGTCCCTGAGACAGTAAAGGTGACCCTTGCCACCTGCCCTGCACCTCTGTTGCTCAGCATGTCTTGTCCCCAGTCACCTCCATGTGGGACACTGGGCCCTTTGGACCCTCGGGGGGGAGGTCATTCTGGGAGCATAGGGGCAGGTGCCCCTCATGCAGCGCAGACCCTGTCCACTCACACACTTTCCGTCCTGATCTTTTCGGCACAGAAACTGGAGCAAGAGCGTGAGAATGTGGAAGGGGATTCTGAGGACCCTCACTTCGTGCCAGGTAAGAGCCCCGGGCTGCTTGGAGCCACACGGGCAGGCACGAGACCTCCCCCCAGGTCCTTCCCTCCTCCTGACAACAGCAAGACTGTCCTTACACTTTTCCCTCATACTCAGAATTGAAAGGCTTTCATTTTCATCTTTAACACACACACACACACACACACACACACACACACACACACACACCCAGGTGCTCTGCTGAGCACACCCTCATAGCTTATCACACCCTCACACAAACCCCAAGAGGGAATACATTCATCATTCCCATTTTGCAGATAAGGAAATAGAGGCCCAGAGAGATCTGATAATCTGCCCCAGGTTGCCCTGCTCAGAAGTGGCCACATGTGGATCAGACCAATGTTGCTCTGAGCTTGTTCTAGGCTGGGTGGTTTGCAGGGCTCAGCCTGTCCGTCAAGTCATCACACCTTCAAATGCCCAGACCAGACACCCCTGAGTATCTGCCACACTGGCCTATAGTCAGACATTGAGGCCACAGGAACCAGGGGAGGGGACCACTCTGCCTGGTGCCAGTGTCCAGGTTCAGGAACATCTGGGTGAGGTGCTAGGGAGTCCCTACAAAAACATCGTCTACTCTTCATCATGTGGATGTGTCCCTCTGATGGTGGAGCTCTAGGCAACTTCCAAGGGCAGCAGGCAGAGCCCAGGACTCAAATCCAGACAGGAATTTCCAAACCAGGTCACTGACCAACGAACCCTGGAATGGGCCAGGGCAGTGGGGACTCCCGGGGAACCCCCATCCCTCAGAGGACACACTGCTATAAGCATCCTCTGCACTGGGGGTTAGGGTGGGGGTGGAGAATAGGTCTGCTGTGCCAGAGGAAGGATGGCCAGAGCCAGCCTGGGATCCAGCAGACCTCGTTCAGAATGCCCTCTTGAGGGGGACCCCTCCCTCAGGATGCTGCAGATGACATTACTGAGGCTTGGTGGACCACGCCAGCCTCCAGGCTGCTTGGGGCCCCCGGGGGCTCCGGGTGGCAGGAGGCCAGGCGCATGGCCCAGTTGCGCTCACTACCAGGACCAGTGAGGCCTCCCCCCTCTCCCCGGTGTCCAGCAGAGCCTCTGTGACAGGGGCAATGCAGTGCTCGGGCCCCGAGTGGAAACCTGCACGAGAGGACTTGCAGCTCATTTCCAGAAATAAGATGATCATTCCCTGCAGGAAATGAGGACAGGCCGGATGCAGCTGTACTGAGTGCTCTGAGGAGGAGGAAAGACCTTCTGCAGAGACTCTGGGTAGGCCGGTGTCCTGTGCCGCGTGGAGCTCTGGGGCTGAAGCTGGGGGCTACCGGGCCCAGGCCAGAGGCACAGGGAGGGCTTCCCGGAGGAAACGCTGGTTCCCGGAGGTCTGTTGACTTGTGGGTGGGTTGACTTGTGGGTGGGTGATCCTGAGCGGCCAGAAGACCGCGCACCTAATCACAGAAGAGAAAGCAAGAGATGCACGCACGTGTTCTCTAGTCGGGAGCGTTAGCTGAAAAACCCTGCTTTGGTTGCACGTATCCACGGCGGCAGTGCTGTGCCAAGGACCCGGTTCCTACAGGAGGTGGGATTTTAGGACGGCCAAGGGCCTCCTCCAGACTAAATGCACCAGCAATAGGGAATGACCGTGGGAAGTGGCAAATGGCATCCACACGGACGGTTCTGATGAAATACTGCTTTGTGGTGACGCTGGAAAGAGAGAACATTCTCTGTTGACTGGGAGAAAAGCACAGCCGGACACTAGTTCATGTTTTTTCATAAAACATGGACGGACAGCCTGAGCTAAAAAGAAGCATTATCCCTTCCCCACCCCGTGCAAAAAGGTTTGTTGTCACGTGTCCCCCACACGCAGAGCCCGGCTCCTGTCCCAGAGAGGCTGTGCTCTTCGTGGGGCAGGTCAGCAGTGCCGGGCAGCCCTGAGGCCCGCCCCGCACGGAGGACCACACTTCTGCGCGTGGGCTCTGCTGTGCCAGGCGGGGTGGGGACGCCCCTCCCCCGTCTCCCCCCTTCGTGTCTGCGTGTCTGCGGCACTCCCTCCCTGGGTGCAGCGGGCCCTGCGTTGGTGTTGCAGGAACAGCACCTCCTGGAGGAGGTGTCCCAGCCCCGAGCCCCGAGCGGGGTGAACAGAGGAGGAGCCTGGGGATCAGCACTGCCCCCAGAGGTGGCCCCGGTGGGCATCCGCCCGGCTGTCTCCCCACCCCCGCCAGCCCTGGAGCCACCACACATTATCCAACACTCGGTAAGTCTTCGTGATGAACCGGGGGCGGAACCAACGTGGGGAGGATGCGGGGCCCACAGAGCCCAGTTCCTTCCTCGAGGCCCACCTGGGCGGCATTATGAACGGGCTCTGAAGAGGGTGGGTCAGCTAGGAGCCAAGAGTGGCTGCGTGTCCCACGTCCCAGGCACTGCACAGGGACCTCCGTGGCTCCTCTGTGCAACCCTCACAGGTGCCCTGACAACTGGCTTTGGGGAAGGGGTGGTCTCATCCCCCTCATTACAGATGAGAGGCTGGGGTCTCCATTCAGCCTTCCTGACTGCCAGGTCCTAACCTGTGCACCAAGAACAGAAGTATTCAGCATCAGGAGGGCCCTGAATTTGGGGAAGAAGTGTGTCCACGCTTTCTCAAAATTTCATAGTGACCAGAGGAGCCTAAGACCCTAATTTCAAGGGCAGAATTTTATTTTTTATACATACATATTTAATTTTTTTAATATTTTTTTTTGAGAAAGAGAGAGACAGAATGTGAGACAGAGGGAGACAGAGAGAGAGAGGGAGACCCAGAATCCGAAGCAGGCTCCAGGCTCTGAGCTGTCAGCACAGAGCCCAACGTGGGGCTCAAACTCACGCACCGTCAGATCGTGACCTGAGCCCAAGTCAGAAACTCAACCAACTGAGCCACCCAGGTGCCCCAATATATACATACATATTTTAAAGTTTATTTATTTTGAGAGAAAGTGCACACACAAGCGGGGGAGGGGCAGCCAGCGAGGGAGAGAGAGAATCCCAAGCAGGATCCATGCTGTCGGCACAGCGCAGAGCCTTAGGCAGGGCTCGAACCCCAGAACCATGAGATCACGAACCGAGCAGAGATCAAGAGTCACCCAGTGAGCCACCCAGACGCTCCAAGGGCAGAATTTAAAAAGGTAAAAGAGTGGTCCGATTTTGAGAACCTCATACCTTTATTCGGCCTCTGGGTTGTAAGCAAAGGAAAGGAACTGACTTTCTTCGGCAAAAGGGAACGTGTCGGAGGGCAGGTGAGTGCAGGGGAAGGACAGAAATCTGGGACACGACACATAAAAGCCTCAGGGAGAAGAGAAGGCCGAGGAGGTGTGCGGGACCGAGTTGAGGAGGTTCTGGACCTGCTGACCAGGGAGACTATTGGTGCCAGCAGGCTGGGTCCATGACCTGGAGGGCATTTGTTCTTTGGAAGAAGACCCTGGCAGCACTTGGCTGAGGGAAGAGAATGGGAAGGGGCAATTCAGGGAGAGACCTGTGCTAGTGGAGGCCCTAGAGGCCCCTTCGCCCCCGGGCTGTCTGCGTCCAGGTTCCAGATATCCTAAGCCTGCGCCTTCAGGTCTCCCAGCAGCTAGAGCCTCCTCTTGGGAGTGGTGGGGTGGTGGGGGTGTAGGGGCAAGAGCCTCCCCCTACTCAAACCCACTTACACTCACTGCCCTTCACCAGGGCCCCGTCCCGCTTGCATGTTTCAGTCTCAGCCTCAGGGACAAGCAGATGATGGGAGGGGCCTTCGGTGGTTACAATGAATTTCCTCGAGGCTGGATTCAGAGACTCTGAGGTAGGATGTCCTCCAAGCCATGAAGGCGTAGTCCCATCAGACTATGCGGTGGATAGCAGAGCGTGGCTATGGGCCGAAGTTGGCTTGCCATCTGCTTTTGTACAACCTGTAAGCTAAGAATTGTCTTATGTTTTTAGATGTTTGGGGGAAAATCAAAAGAAGAATAATAGTTTGTAACACATGAAAATGATACGAAATGCAAATCTCAGTGCCCATATTGAAGTTTCATTGGTCCAGTCTTGCCTGTCTATGGCTGCCTCCAGGATACAATGGCAGAGTTGAGCGGTTTGCAACTGAGGCCATACGGCCCATAGAGTCAAAACTATTTATTGTCTGGCCCTCCACAGAGAATGTTTGTCAGCCCCTGCTCTATGCCATCATTTCTATGAACTGGGAAAGAAAGGACAAGGTCAGGGCCTTGTTCGTGCAGGAAAAGAGTAAGATAGAAAATAGAAGTCTTTGGTGCGTGATCAACACCTAGTGTGTGCTTGAAATTGTACATTTAGGGGCGCCTGGGTGGCGCAGTCGGTTGAGCGTCCGACTTCAGCCAGGTCACGATCTCGCGGTCCGTGAGTTCGAGCCCCGCGTCGGGCTCTGGGCTGATGGCTCAGAGCCTGGAGCCTGTTTCCGATTCTGTGTCTCCCTCTCTCTGCCCCTCCCCCGTTCATGCTCTCTCTCTGTCCCAAAAATAAATAAATGTTGAAAAAAAAAATTTAAAAAAAAAATTGTACATTTATTTTAACTCAAGAGAGAAGCCAGGACTTATTTTCATGACCTGTTCCGTGGCTGCCTCTATTGAGGCAGGATTAATGAAACCAGACAGTGATTAGCTTAGCCTACTGAAGACAGGAAATGTGGGGAACATTAAAAACCATGTCATTGCTGAATAGATATTGAGTCCAGGTATCACATAGGACATGGTGTGTTATAAATATTTGTATCTAGCCCCAAATTCGTATGTTGCAGTTCTAACTTCCAGTGTGACCATATTTGGAGATAGCGCCTGTGAAGAGGTATACAAGGTTAAATGAGGTAATAAATGTGAGATCCTAGTCCAATGGGGCTGGTATCCTCAAAAAAGGAGGAAGGGATGGGGCGCCCGGGTGGCTCAGTCGGTTAAGTGGCCAGCTTTGGCTCAGGTCATGATCTCATGGCTCGTGAGACCATGTCTTAGTCTGCTAGGGCTGCCATAACAAAGTGCCACAAACCAGGCAGCCGAAACAGCAGAAATTAATTTTCTCACAGTTTTGGAGTCTGGATGTCCAAGATCAAGGTGCCAGCCAATCAGGTTCCTGGAGAGAGTTCTCTTCCGGCTTGCAGACAGCTGCCATTTCACTGTTGTCACATGGCAGACAGAGAGTTCGCTAGCACTTCTTCCTCTTTTAAAAAAAAAAAAAGTTTAATGTTTATTTTTGAGAAAGGGTGAGCACAAGCCGGCCAGGGGCAGAGAGAGGGGGTGACAGAGGATCTGAAGCGGCGGGCTCTGTGCTGACAGATGAGAGCCCAATGCGAGGCTCAAACTCAGGAGCCATGAGATCATGACCTGAGCCAAAGCTGGCCACTTAACCTAACCGACTGAGCCACCCGGGCGCCCCATCCCTTCCTCCTTTTTTGAGGATACCAGCCCCATTGGACTAGGATCTCACATTTACTACCTCATTTAACCTTGTATACCTCTTCACAGGCGCTATCTCCAAATATGGTCACACTGGAAGTTAGAACTTCAACATACGAATTTGGGGCTAGATACAAATATTTATAACACGCCATGTCCTATGTGATACCTGGACTCAAATATCTATTCAGCAATCTATTCAATGTGTTGGGTTAACCAGTTAAGTTCCTCTTGGGGGTGCCTGGGTGGCTCAGTTGGTTGAGCATCCAACTCTTGATCTCAGCTCAGGTCTTGATCTCAGGGCTGTGAAGTCAAGCGCCATTTGGACTCCGTGCTGTGTGTGAAGCCTACTTAAAAAGATAATAAAGTTCCTTTTGGATGGATGGATAAATGAATGGATGGGTGGGTGGGCAGATGGGTGGGTGACGGATGGGAGAGTAGAGAGATGGGTGGGTGGGCAGGTGGATGGTAGGTAACTAGGTGGGTGGACTTGTGGGTGAATGGATGGGTGGGCAGATGGATGGGTAGGTGATGGATAGGTAGAGATGGATGGTTAGGCAGGTGGGTGGATGCTGGAGAACTCTCTCCTAGGGCACGTTTAAGAAACTAATCATCTGGCTCTTTTTAGGTCCCCCAGCCTCCTGCCACCATTATTCAACAACTACCTCGGCAGCCACTCATCGCCCAGATTCCCCCTCTCCAGGCCTTCCCCACTCAAAGGTCAGGAAGTATTAAGGAAGGTAAGTGTTCCAGGAATGCAAACTGGTACAGCTTCTCTGGGAAACAGTATGGAGGGTTCTCAAAAAATTAAAAATAGAACAACCTTATGACCCAGCAATTTCACTGTCAGGTATTTATCCAAAGGATTCAAAAATGCTGACTCAAAGGGGCACATTCACCCCAATGTTTTTAGCAGCATTATTGACAATAGCCAAATCATGGAAAGAGCCCAAATGTCCATTGATGGATGAATGGATAAAGAAGATGTGGTGGATAAAGAAGATGTGGT